AAAACAGGTGGAATCCTCCTCACAGAAATTTTTGAACTAAGGGGCCCCGAGGAGGAACTTGTCATTTCAGCAGAAGCCACGTGAGCACTGCTCAGAACCAGGGTAACTCCAACTTTACAAAGCTCCACCAACAGCTTCACTCACCGCAGGGATTTTCAGCAATTCCGCGACCAGCAGGGGCAGCTTGAGGGCAGCCACGCTTCCAGTCACTCCCACCAGCACATGGAACTTTTCCTGTGCCACAGATGAGCTGTTTCCTGCAGCAGTGCCTGGTTCTGGCAGGGAGATGGGCTCCATGCTCCAGTGCAGCTGTGCAGGCACAGGAAAACAAAGACACTGCACTAACAGAGCCTCCCAGCACAGCTCCAACCCCAACACATTCCCAAGAGGATCTGACCTGGACTCTGCAGGACCCAGAGCCAGCCAGAACCATGGGATGACTCTGGGTCACCCCCCAGGTGCCACTCATCCCACAAGGATTTCAAGCACCAGCAGAACTTTAAGGGTAGCTCAATGTTTAATTACATTTTTCTCTAAGATACTGGGAAACAGGCTCCTAAAATTTGAGCAGAGAGGCCACAAAAGCATCCTGGTAAAGTTCATGCCCTCCAAAATTAAGACTCCCACATGTTGAACACAGTCCAGAATTTAGGGCAGATAAATAAATCAATTTGAGATAAAATTTTACGCCAAGTTCTCTAAAAGCAAACAAACCCTTGCTGAGTTGCTTTCCCTCTGTACTTTCTGGTGATTAATAAATGCACAGAGATGTCTTAATAATTAAAAATGTGGGGCCTCTCTGCATGCACAATCTTGTTTCTCACTGTGTTCCTAAATATTAACAGCAGCACTAGACAGAATTCCCTAGCAGCTCTAATTTAGGTCTGCAGCTTCCTCCTGGCCTTCCTATGCTGCTGCCACACTGATAAAAAAACAGGAATTAATGTTTCGGTGGAGAAAATGACACAAGTGTCTCAAATATAATCAATCAATGATTAAGCAGCAACGAGTAAATTCAGTTCTTGAAAAATCACTGCAACCAGTAAAGTTTGTTGCATTTTAGTGATGTCCTTGTTGCTCAAAGAAAGTGTTTGGAATCACTTTGGGCGGAAAGAAGATGGACACAGGCTGTGCTGATGATTTGGGAGGAACTCAGAGTCTGGAGAGAGGAATTTCACACGACCACAGCGTGGTTTGGGTTGGAAGGGAAATTAAAATTGCCAAATCCCACCCTCTGCCATGAGCAGGGACACCTCCCACTAAAAGCCCAATTTCAGCTTTGCTGATTAGCAAGGGTAATTAAGAGGTGAGGAAATGTAGCAGAACATTGGCTGAGAGATTTTAATGCCACCACCACACTTCACATATTTATCTATATCTAATTAAAATCAGATTATGATGATTATTTATAAATTATAAAAGTTATTATCTACTTAAAGCATCCTTTGGATGCTTCCAAAATGTGCACAATTCTACTGAAGCATCCACAAATTAAAGCCTGGGTATTGAAATGTACATTTTTAAGTAGGAAACTTTCCAAATGGTTATAAATTATAAAGTAATGATGAAAAGGATAAAAATTATAAAATTAGAAAAGAATTATTAAAATAGTAAAATAATGGTAAATACAGTAAAGCAGTGGTAAAAAGGTTAAATTTTTAAATGGTACAAATATAAAAATAGCGGCAAAAATCGCAAAATAGTGGTAAAAATTATAAAATAACAGTAGAGGATTATAGTAAAAGGTGTATGTACAGTAATATATGTAATATAACGATTAAAAAACCTGTTGGGCCGCGCTTTGCTCTTACCCAAACACAGCTGTGGGGAAGCAGCCACTAGAAAACGAGCAATTTACAGGCCCCTAAAGGTTCATTAAATCGACTTTTAATGCGGTAGCGGTGCTGAAAGCGGCTCCAAAAGGCCGCACAGCAGGACCGGGAAGCCCCGGGGGCCCGCAGAAGGTGAGACACAGCGCTCCGACACCGCCCCGGGCAGGGCCGGTGGAACCGGCAGGGCCGTGAGGGCCGTGAGGGCAGCGGGGCCGCGGCGGGGGGCGGACCGGAACTGGGGGGGGGGGGTGGTGGTGCCGGGAACCGGCGCACGCACGGCGCTGATTGGTGCGCACTGCTCCCGCTCTCAGCGCTGATTGGTGCGCCTTGCTCCCGCCCACGCACTGATTGGTGCGCACTGCTTCCGTCTCTCAGCGCTGATTGGTGCACACTGTTCCCGCCCTCAGCGCTGATTGGTGCGGGCAGCGCGCGCGGCCGGGGGGAGGAAGGGGTGTCATGGCGGCCCCTCACGGCCCCGTCCCGGGTCATGGCGGCAGTGCTGCCACCCTGAGCGCTTGGTGCCACTCTGTGCCCCAGTCGTGCCCACGCGAGACATCTCGCCAAGGGCAAGGGGGTGGCTTCAGGCTGCTCAAGAAGCAATCTTAACGGGGATTTTGGCTCGTGGGGAGGTTTTGGAACGGAACAAAAGACAAAAAAACTCGGCGGTAGAAGGCGTGTGGGGAACGGGGTCGAGGAGAGGGTCTGAGGGTCCCTCAAGTGACAGGGTGATATCTGAGCCTAGGAAAGTGCTAGACACCAGGAGTGAAACCTTTCCTTTGGGATTCAGGGCAGCCACACACAGTTGGCAGGGGAAAGTGGATTAAAGGACTGAGTATTCATTATCTGAGGGACAGACAGGATGAGGGGAATGGCTTCCCATGCCAGAGGGCAGAGTTAGGTGGGATAGTGGGAAGGAATTGTGCCCTGGCACAGGTTTTCCAGAGCAGCTGTGGCTGCCCCTGGATCCCTGGAAGTGTCCAGGGCCGGGCTGGATGGGGCTTGGAGCAGCCTGGGACAGCGGAACATGTCCCTGCTGGAGGAGCTGTAAGGTCCCTTCCCAGACAAACCATTCCATGATTATGCAGGCACAACAGATCAGGGGCAGCACGTGGTGCCCAGCCCTTTGCAGTTTTTTGGACATCCCACTGATACTTGTTACGAACAAGCAGCAAGGACAGAAGAGGCAGAGAGAGCAGTGCTCTGCCGCCTGCAGGACATAGAAGGTGACAAGGAGACCTGAGGAGAAGCCCAGTTGTGTTCTATGGGAGGCCTCTTGCCCAGCAGCAGGAACACCCCATCTCTCCCACCCCGTGGACTTCGGGAGCACCACCACGCTTTGATCACACCCACATCAGCCCCACCTGGAGCAGGGACAGCTTACAAATAACCAAGGTGAGAACAAGGGGTTGAGTTTCCCACCTGGCTGGAGCCACGGGGACAACATTTCAGCGCTCACACACTCAGGAGACACATTGGAGAGGAGGGTTAGGTGCTGAAGCAATGTCTGTTAGTTACAGCTCGTTACAGTTATTATTGATGCATCTTATTGTCAATGCAAGAGGTGAAGTCACTTAATCCATCATTTCTCAGACACGGATGACAGAGCACGTGGTTTGGCAGAGTTAAGTTTTAGGCGAGCTAGAAATGGATTGCACAATATTTAAACCTGATTAAGTACATAATAGGCTTAGCGAAGGATTACTTTTCTCCTGACATTTTATACATAAATATATATACACACACACACACAGACAGGCATTTTATCAGTAGCTGCATTTTAGTCTGGTCAAGAGACGACTGCCTATTGCAGAATGACTGGAGTGACACCCTTAAAAAAGAAACTAGTCTTGGTGTGCTTTGCTGGAGAAGAGAAGGTCCTTTTTGGGGTGATTCTCAGGGGTAGGGGTCACATCCAAGCATCACTGGAGGGGACAGATAGGGGGCCTGGGACTTGCACAGTCCTGGCTGGTGGCACACTGAGCTCCTTCCCTGTGCCAGGCAGGAGATACTGGAGCCAAAGGCTGGATTGGATTCTGTTTGGGCTGCTTTTCGAGGACTTGGAGAAAAATTTGGCTTATTTAAAGTGCATTTAGAGTTGAAAAGCATCTCAGAGAAGTAGCTTTCCCTACTCCTGCCCTGCAGCATCCATCCCATTTATGCTCCTATTCATAATCTTTTCCAGGGTGTGCCAGTCACTTTCCCCAGGAAGTGTTGGTCTGAGCTCAGCTGCCTCCTGCTAGGGTGCAGGATCATTATTTAATGTCCGACATCCCCAAATTGGGCAGGGATTTGGGCTTGAAAGGGATTTCTGCACCAGGAAAACACACAGCCACATCTCACCAGGCTTTTTAGGAGCACAAGTGAGCAGGAGTCCTTCCCTCCAGCCTGGAGGTTTCCTTAAGAGACTTAAATTAGCACAAACCTCCAAAGCTAACGGGAACAAATCTTGGCCTGGCTATTTCCATGAGCAGGGAGACTGCTTGGATGTCCTGGGATACGGGGTGGCAAGATTTGACCCGCAGCCTTGCCCAGGCATAGGTCCTCTGAGGAACGCTCTGTGGCTTTTACAGCTGCTTTTCAAAACAGAAGCCTTAAAAAAAAACAGACTCAGGATGCAGAATCTGTAATGGGATGGTTGTATCCCACAGGGAAAACCTGTCCTTGCTCCCCAACACACACACACACGTGCACACACACACACACTGGTCCTCCACATCGAAGTGTAAACTACTCACTTACAACACCACACACTGAGAGAAGTTGTAGATCCTGAGCCAGGGTGTAGATTAGGAATCTCTTGGCTTCCAGCATATCAACAGCAGGATTGAGGGTTTTTTTTTTTTTTTTCCCCTTTTTTTTTTTTTTTTTTTTTTTTTTTTTTTTTTTTTTTTAAATCAGCCAGCCACCTGCTAGTTAAAAAGCAAAAGAAAAAAGGAGAATTCCCAGGATTGCTTGCCCTTGCTGAGACAGTGTCAAGTGGCTGGACACTACCAACTGAAAGAGAAAACTCACACACATCAAAAACCCATAGTTCGGGGCTTATTCCAAGAGGGAAGATGGGTGCTGGTTGCTCTTTTTCCCTTTTTGGGGGCATGGGGGGGCTTTTGGCTGATGAAGTTCTAACATACACCTACCACCACAGTAATTAAAAAAACCACCACCGTACACTATTCCACAGGGTAAAAGAAGACACGTGAACGGACACTGACTACCACACACAACAAGAGCCCTGCAGGTCAACTCACGGCCTCTTCAGAATGAAAAAGAAAGGAGAAAAGAAGAGCTCAAGACAAGAAAAACAGAAAAAAAGAAAAAAGGAAAGAAAAAAATCCCAAAAGATCTCGTTACAAAGACGGGAAAAGAACCACCATTATGGTACACTCTGACTTTCTGAGACAGCTGCAGAAACTCGGCTCAGGCTTCCTCCTCCCTTTTTCCCCCCCAGCTCTTCCTCCCGAGGACAGAGTCCTGCTGCTGCTCACATCTCGTTGGAGTAGGTGTAGTTGGGGGTGGCCGAGTACTGCGTCTCGTGCTGCATCATGGCGCCCTGCGCCGCCCCCATGGCCGCGTTCTGGGCCGCCTGCTGCACGTGGGGATTCTTCCAGGCCCCCGTGGTCCACTCCTCCTGCGCTTTGCTGAAGCTCCCGCCGCTGCCCCGGTAAAACTTGTGCACCTGCAGGGAAAAGCCAGAGGGGCTGAGCGCCTGGGGTGGCAGGAGGGGCACCCAAAGCGATGTGGAACCCCTGTTTTTCCTGCCGTACCATGGTGAGGGCAATGAAGGAGAAGACTGCCATGGCTGTGAAGAGCACAGTGGGGATCAGCATCACCACAGCCGAGCCCACGTTGGTCCCAAAGAAGGAAATCGCTGCAATCCAGCCACTGCAAGGAGATGGAAACAACTGTTTCATTCACCAGCTCTCCCCTACTGCCAGAACCCTCCCAACTCCTCAAACCATCTTCCCCAAGGAGAGAACCAGCAAAGATGCTAAAACACCACAGTGACCACCCTTGTACCCAACACAGCAGCATTTTCCTTACCAGACCCCCCATCCAGGGATGCCCACTGCCTGGATGATGCTGATCACCAGCTGGGCCATGAATGTGAAGAAGAAGGCCATGAAGCTGAAGGAACTGTCTGTCCTGCAAGAGAATGTTCAGTCACTCCTGCACCTCCATCCCTGCTGCACTCCAAGGGAAGGGAGATGCTCCAGCGTATCAGACCTGGCCATGATTTAGCAGGAGGGTGATGAAAAGCAAAATTAAAGGCAAAGGAGAAACTGCAAGAGGATAGAGGTGGTCAAGGGGTACCTGGGAAAGCCACAGGGCACCAGACCCTCCCTATGGCTCAGTGAGCTAGGCTTGAGGACATCAATGTTGGGACACAGCTCAGCTCACACCACCCCACATGGGGAATAAGTACACCCCTAGTCTCTAGATTTGGGGACTGACCTCACCACCATGGGTAATCTGTACAAACACCTCAAGGATTCGTGGAACAATATAAAAGATGCCTCAGGGATGAGAGGGAAAGTGGCACCCCAGCTGCATCCTCACCACCTGTCCCCCACCACTGCACAGAGGGACAAGGAAAGTGTCCTTACATCACCTGATGGGGGGTTTGGCCCCCAGGAAATCCCAAACACTCTGGTTTTGAAGGTTCGAAAGTAAAGCTAAAGGGCTGCACAGAAATTAATTCCCCCAGTTAGTCAGGCAATGCCCTAAGCTAAACACTGACCGTTTATGAAGGAAAACAAGGCAAAAAGAAGCCAGGCTCAGGTGCGACCACTTACTTGAAAGCTTTGTAAATAGGTCTAAACCAGCAGACATAGGAGCAGGGCGTAAAGAGAATGAGCCAGAGAATTGCCAGTCCAAAATTTACAGCTCCGCCGCCTCCAATGAGCCACGCGAGGCAGCCCACGAGATTCACCGCCAAGGTGATGCTGTTCACTGCAAACACACACACACACACAGAGCAGAGTAGCACGGACGCAAGGGTGGCACTGAGACACCAAGGAGCCCGACCCCAGGGATGTGGCCTCGGAGCCCTGCCCTAGATGGACTTCCCTTAAATTAAGCTGAGAGCACATTCCCAGGCTGGCTGGAAAGAAGGGGGTCAGGCCTCAGGTGTGTAACAGGAGGAAAATCAATGTATCACTCAGAGTTGTAATTCTCTAAGCAGTTCCTGGGCCCTGAAGATTGGCAGCAGTTGTATCCTCCCGCT